AAAAGAGGTATCTACCTCATATCTATTTACATGGACTACGTGACACAATACAACGACACGAATCATAAAATATGTAGGTGCCTATACCAATAGTATTTTAATTAATTCAAGAACCAGCCAGTGGCCAATGCCTTTAAGTTTTATTTTTTAAGTGTTAACTTATTACTCTATAGTATATGATTAGAACTAACAATAAACTTCTCGATTACTTTTTAATTAATTACTTTTTTGTAACTGCGTACAAATAATATTTAAAAAATAGTAGGATACTCCGCTAGTACAATTAACAAGTCTAAATAAAAAAAATACAATATACATATTACATATACATTACTATATTAACTATACATCTACACTTTCTACTGATATTTGTGTAATTCACATTTTAATACTTAATATTTTATAGTACATGCGATGACAAATTATAGTACATTTTTCATATTTATTTGAAACAGATCGAATAAATCAATTGTCAAATATCAGTAGACAATTACAATAACTTTAGCTAACCTTATAGAAAATACCTACCTACAGTGTCAATTTGGCTCATGGTTAGGCCCCATTACTCCATAACGAACCATTCAAACATGAAAAATAATCTAACTGCCTTTAAATACATTGCATTAAAAAAATTAAGAATAATTTATTACTTTAAAATTATTTGTTATTATAAATACTAAAATTATATACTTTTTTTTACAATTCCACACATACAATGGAAAAATAATATTCCTTATTTTAAACAAAAAATAATAATAAATATAAACAACGTAAATTAAATTAATTATTAAGTATTAATAAAATAGAAGTTTTTTTTTAAAGTATCACTGGAAGATCCTTACATATTTCTAACATATCAATAATTTCATATTTGTTTAAAAATGTTATGATTTCTTCTTCAAAAAACAGAAAAGTTAAAGGATCCAGCTATATACTTTGTTTATATCGAAGATCTAAGTTAAGTTTTTAAAAGCTTAAGTTTTTTTTAAATACTCGTAAACCTTGTGATCATGAAAGTATAAGAATGTAGGTATCTATTTGAATGCTTTGTATTTTCGGTTTTACAAATTGATTAGATTGGAACGGGTCGCGACACATAAGTGATTTAAATATACATTTTTTCCATTTGACTATGGGGCCACCAATATGAAAAAATATCCCCGCGATTACTAGATGTTTGGGTGAGTCAGTCCGAAATTGACTACCTATTTTATATATTTATATTTAATAACATTTTACTCAATTAGGGTTGTAGTAATTAGAAATTAGAATACATATCGGAGTTAAAACGCAGAGTGCGGATACCATTAAATCAAATTCTGACATTTATTTAATAAAAAGAATACATAAATTATGTAATTTAGTGTACCTATGTGTATATATTATTTTATAAGCATTTTAAGTTCAAATTTTGACAAAATTCATCAAATATAAAATTTTAAAATCTGTAAAATGTTCAATTTAAAATTTGGACAAAATTAGATTTTTTTTTTAGTTACTTCGATGTAATTTAAAAATATTTTTCGTGGGTACTTGAAACATTCAAAGTATCTATATTATTGTATTTTATACACACGGTAAAATGTTTGAATGCAACGTGTTTGGTAAAAATTAATTCAACCTTCTATACAACTAATATTCAAAAAAATTAGCAATTAAATCATAAAATATTTTAGTAATATAGGTCATCGATCAAAATCGTTTTTCGTGAGCAAATAGCAATAATTTATCATTGAATTCAAATTTAACTCATCTACCTATTACACTTGCTCATTACAGTGACCCACTTGACACCTATTTATATTATACAGCATAGTGGTATCCACTTGTCCATCTTTTTACCAATTGCATTTCAATACATTTTTTCATTTCTCATTTCTTATAAACCGCCACTTTTCTTACAACACTTCTATGCATTACTAATGCTAGGTTATAATTAGTGATGTATCAATTACTGGGTAATTGGAAGAATTGTTCCAATAATAATTAGTATTTGGACTTTAGAGACATTATTATTAATGCAATATAAAACTCTTAAATTGTGAATGTACGTTGTAGAAAAAATTATATCGCCAATATATTATAATTGTGTATAACTGGTCATCAGAGTAATATGTTAAATATTTTTTACATCAAGAGTAAGCGCGCTTTTTGTTTTCACTATCTTGGCAAATTAGCGTTCAACAGAAAGGACACTTTCCTTGTTTGTCTAATTTATTGCTTTATTATTAGAATAGTGATTTCCAACCTGGGCAGCGTGAGCCATGAACACATTTCTGGGGATGAGGCGCAAGCAATCTGTAAGGAATAATTTTTTGATGATTCGTAACATAAATGAGGCTATATAAGGGATAAAAATGATAAATGAATATTGGCCGGTTACCACATATCGTTAAACTTACATATCCGTCCGGATTATGTGGTAATTGAGGCAATAACGCAGTCAAAGTTTCGAGATTTTTAATATAGTTACAACATTTTTTATTTAATAAAACAAAAAAAAGGTCTTCTACTTTATACCTTTGTTTTAGAATCAAATGCATGTATTGATATAACAATAATAATATACCTTTGTTTTTATTATTTTTTTTTGCGTCCATATTCACGTCATCTAACCTGTGTTTACACTTAATGTTCAATTTTTATTAGTTTTATTAAGTTATTATGAATAAACAATTTTTCCCTTGGTCAAAAAACTTTTGATAATTTAATACCACATAAGTTTTTATTTGAGTAGTTTAAAAAAAAAAATTGTGTGTAATCGCACAAACAAATTTTATGAGCAGCTGTGGTTTATATTTGGGATGAAAGGTATTTAAATTTTTTATTTTAAAGCAAGTTATGATCATTTTAAAATTGTGAACTGTTGTTACATTTTAAAATGTATAAGCTTTCTTTAAAATTAAAGAATAAAAAATGTCATCCACTAGAATCCTAGATAATATTCTTATTGCTAAATTTGGTAATAGACTGGTAATTCATTCTAAAATTAAATATTACTGAGTTAAATTATTGTTCATAAAGCCCAATTTGCTATGTTATGAGTTTGTAAGACGGGAGCAACGCATGCGGGTACAGCGCTGCGTCTTCCTAAAGATCAATTTATTAAAGTTTCCTAGTTATTAGGTCCAATCCATGGGAAACGTTCAATATATTTCGAGATAAGTTAAACATATAATTTATTTAATTAGCTTTTCTTGTAATTTACGTAGTTCAAATCTTTGAAAACTGATTTGTGACGATTTAAATTAAAAATAATATATTCATTATCATTTGTACACCCAACTCCCGTATTATTGACATAATTACTAAATATTTTTTTTTTAACTCACAATACTTGAATTAAGTTGAAACTGTAAAACGTTTTATTTTAGGAATTACTTGTCAAAAGATATGCTGTACAAAGTAACTCGTTAGTCGTTACTATCCAACACTGCAACAATATCTTTGCAGTCTATACCAAAATATAGGGAGCAAATTGTTTATCATTGTCTGCCCGAGATTGTATGAAATTTTAATATGTCCATGTTAGTCTTAAGTAAATTGGGAAACTATTTTGAAGATCTTGAGGGGAAAATAAATGTCCATGATACCTAATGATCTCGAGTTTTTCTTACACCGTATTCAAGCGTGGTAGTATCCTCCTCCTGGTCTGAATCACCGCTTACGGAGATGGCATTTGGTAGACACTCCGCCCATTACCGAGGTGCACGGTAGTCTACGAAGTAAATTGATTTATTCAAAATGAGGGACGGCGCGTACGCAGTCCCAGCTAACAAAAATTCTGCGCCCGAGGTATCCACATTAGGGATACTCGCAGGGGTCAACCGATTCCATGTGCAATGAACCGGCCTCGACCTGGAGGAACCGCCTGTGTGATCACGGTTGACCTCCACGCCAGGTAAGTATGCTCGATGTCCGATTCCAGAGCCTTTATACAATGTGCACCAGCCTCCCCAAAACGGTACATACCCTTAGAATATCGGTGACCATGTTAGTCGGTCTGCTGTAACGGTAACCAACGACCGGTTTAACGGTATTTTGGAAACTTTTGGTAAATATTGGAATTGTTTGTGAAGCTTTTCAGACACTTATACGTCCATTGACAGTTCGGTAAGTGGCAGCCGATAACGTCAGACGATATGTGGCGCATCCTATGAGTGAAATATTGCAGACGCATTTTCGTTCCTTTTTCTTACCGCCTGGTGTCTCGATCAGTGATTCTCAGTTCGCCAGTACTCGCCACGTCTTGGTGGTGCCTTTGAAATTAAAAGAATCTAGTTAAAAGTTTATAATCGTATAATATTATTATCTAGATTTGTGGGCCCAGCGCCCAGGGAGTTGTGTAATGTTGGTACTTGGTACCCGTTCGGTACCAATGCTTTGGCGGCCAGATTCATGTCTGGTGTATTTTTTTTAGTATAAAAATTAACAATGATTACTAGAAAAGTCGTTGATGAAAGCTGAATTTCAGTGTCTAGTTATTAAACATCATGTGGTCGATTTCCTTTATAAAATATAATATTTATAGTTATCTTTCTAAAAGTCTTTCTATTTGAAAGACTATTTTATAAAGATTCTTTCTTTCTTTTAATCCTTTTAGATCTCTCACTTGACACATGCGGACAATTTTTTTATCTTTTAACATGGAATCAATAATTTAATATTGTTGCAATGTCATAGTTAAAAAACGCACATAAAGCGACTATTATAAGAATAAATATAAATATTATATGATATAGACCTATATAGACCTATATTATGTCTATGATTATAAGTGAGTTAAATAAATACGTAGTGTTTAAGTTTGTGAAACGCAAAATAATAATAAAAACCATACACAATATAGATGGTAGGAATAATATATTTTGTACTAAAGTAGGTAGTTTATTCTGTGCTATCTTGTTCACTATAATCTATAGCATATCTAAATTTTAAATTTCTTATCTGTAGTTGAAAACGAAAAGTTCTTATCAGTTATCACTACATTATTATCTTCGAGTTTGAACTCTTCGTTCTTCAATGTCAAATCTTTTACGAAATCAATATTCGGTTAGCACTTAGCACAACTTTTAATTTCTTTTATACGTTACGCACTTACGTGTGCGTATAGTTGGATCATTATTCAATCCGTTGTTAAATTTCTGTTGATTCACTGACGTTAAATTTAAACCGGAATGGCGACATCGTTGTTCCGTTCCGCCCTTAAAGGCGGATTACATAAAAATTATCTCAGAAAAACTTTATGTGCTTCATTTAATCTAGAAAAGATATTGTGTATCCACACGTCATCGTTTTTGAATGGTAATAAGACTTTCATTTCACCTTTTAGTCAACCTTCAATAATGTAAAATGTTTCTACATCTTATCATATTATTTACTTAGTAAAAGGTCAAGAAATTAACATGCCGTCTTTGTCCCCGACTATGACTGAAGGCAACATAGTCAAATGGTTGAAAAAAGAAGGAGACAAAATATCTGCAGGTGACGTTCTATGTGAAATTCAAACAGATAAGGCTATTATGGCTTTTGAAACGGAAGAAGAAGGAGTATTAGCTAAAATATTGGTATGTTATTGAAATATTATTAATAAAACATTGTAGCATTCATAAAAATCAAAGATATTTTATTGTAGGTCCCAGATGATGCTAAGGAAATTAAAGTGGGTGCTTTAATAGCTCTCATGGTAGCCGAAGGAGAAGATTGGAAAAGTGTTGAAACACCCGATGCCAAAGGTGCTGCACCCGCTGCTTCAAATTCTCTGGAAGAATCCCAAGAATCAGAACAAACTACTGGAGGAAACAGTACTGTCATTCATATATATATATAAAATAAATCTAAATACTTAAAATTTTATTTTTGTTTATTTAGCCCCAGGAATTGAATTAAATATGCCATCACTATCACCAACTATGTCTGAAGGTACAATTATTAAATGGCATAAGCAACCAGGAGATAAAGTTTCAGCTGGAGATGTCCTATGTGACATTCAAACGGACAAAGCAGTTATGTCATTTGAAACTGAAGAAGAAGGAACATTAGCAAAAATTTTGGTATATTTCAATATGCAAATATTTCATTGAAAATCCGTTGTTAGTTATGAATTATGTTTCAGTTAGGTGATGACAGTAAAGATGTTAAAGTTGGTGATTTGATAGCACTAATGGTTGCTGAAGGGGAGGATTGGAATGATGTTCAAGTACCTGGAAAGAAAAAAACTAAATCATCAGTAGCAAAAGAAGACATTCAGAAACCTAAGGTTGAATCTCAGACATCATCGGAACCTACCACTAGATATTCATAGTAAATATTATTACTAATTTAATATGACCTTGTAATTAACTTGAAATTTTAAATTGTAGCGATGGTTATAGTCCAGCTGTGAGGTCGCTTCTAGAATTATATGCTATTGATGGTTCTAAAATTATAGGAACTGGAAAACAGGGGAAAATCTTAAAGGGCGATGTTTTAAAGTATGTCACTGAAAACAATTTGTCTATCAAGCCTCCTAGAACAGGTTAGTAGTTTAATTACCCTAAAATATTGAATTATACCATGTGTATCAAATATTACATTTTTTATTAGTACCTTTACCGGGAGAAACATCCTCACCTAAATCTGTCACACCGACAACTGTATCAAGACCTACCAAAGGACCTGGTTATGTTGACATTCCATTAACTGGCATGAGATTAACAATTGCTAAACGATTAACTGAATCTAAAGTAAATGGTTTACCAATGTGTATTGAATTGTGTACTTAAATGTTTGATTTTTTAGACGATGATTCCTCATGCTTATGCTACAGCCGAGAGCAATATTGATTCACTATTAGGACTTCGCAAGCAATTAAAATCAGCTGGCATTAATGTTTCTGTAAATGATTTTATCATTAAAGCAGTTGCTATTGCTCTTAAACAGTGTCCTCTAGTCAATTGTCACTTTATCAAAGATCAAGTAATTTATTATAATTTTAATTTATCAACGAAAATTTTATTTATTTACAATGATTATTTTACTATTATTTTCAGGTGGTTTTACAGGAAACATCTGATATTTCTGTAGCAGTTGCTACTGAAGCAGGTCTGATAACTCCAATTGTGACTAATGCTGATGGTAAAGCATTAGACGAGATTTCAGCTGAAATAAAAGAATTGGCAGGACGTGCACGTATTGGTAAACTGCAACTTCATGAATTCCAAGGAGGCAGCTTTACGTATGTTAATGATTAAAAAATACTTAGTACACTTTGTAATTAATTATTTAATTTACTTTTTCAATAGAATATCCAACCTTGGAATGTTTGATATATCTGAATTTAGTGCTATTATAAATCCTCCACAGTGTGGTATATTGGCTATTGGAAGTGGACGGCCTGTCATTGGTAATTAATTATTTAATTATTCATAAGGCATTTATGTTAATTATTGAATTATGTTGCAGCACTAAATGGTAAACCACAAACAATTATGACGGCCACATTATCTTACGACTCACGTGCTATAAGTGAATCTGCTGCATCAGATTTCTTAGAAACTCTACAAGGTTTATTGCAAACGCCAGCATCGCTTCTTTTGACATCTCCAGCAAACAAAAAACGTGCTTCAAATTAAATGTACCAACATTTCCTGATTAAATGTTTTTGTTAAGTTTTTTTCTTAGCTTAGGCTCAAATATTTGTTATATTATAATAAGAACTATATAATATGAATGAAACAAAATATAGCTTTAATTTTTTGAAGTATAAAAATTATTTGCATTAATATATTTGTTAAAACACATTCAAGAATGCTTGTTACATTATTCATAAAATAATTATAATTAAACATAAATGGTTGGACTTAGATATTTTAAGCTGGTGCAGGAGGCGGTGGTGGTGGAATACTTGGTTTCCAGTTCATCGGCATCATATTATTTGGTTGCATTGGTGGAGGTGGTGGCATTGGTGGTCCACCACCCATTGTCATGGGAGGTGGTGGCGGTGGCATCATGTGGCCTTGCATATGTGACGGTAAACCAGGATGTGAAGGTGGTAATGGTGGTGGCATTTGTCCTTGTTGTGTAGGAGGTGGAGGAGGTGGTGGCACAAACCCACCATGGAATCCTGGTGGTGCAAAATTGTTGAAACTCGGTGGTGGTGGTGGTGGTGGTTGGTATGAAGGAGGTTGAGGGGGTGCCTGTTGATTTTGCCAAGGCATGATTCGAGGTGGAGGTGCCATTTGATGTTGAGCCATCATGGACATGGATACTTGCATAGGAGGTTGCATAATAGGTGGAGGTGGTACTGGCATCTGGTGCATCATTGGCATTTGAGTTGGTGGTGCATCTGCAAACAGTTGATGGGGACGATCGGCTTGGCTAAGTGGATTTTGAGCTGCCAACAGTCTCTCAGCGGCGGATCCATGTCGTTCCCCTTTAACATCCTTTTTAAATGCATAAGAAATAGATACAGCTCTGTTGCATAAATGTTGACCATTCATAGCTTCTATTGCAGCGTCAGATGCTTCAAAACTAGCATAATTTATGAATGCAAATCCTTTCGAATTGCCTGTATCAGGATCCCTCATTATCTAAATTAAAAACAATTGAAACTTCAAGTAAGTGTCAATTTATAATATTATGTTATTCTCCATAAAATCTTAAATAAGTCCCAATAATTTGATGAAATCGACCTTTTCGTGAAGTGGATAACAATATCCAAACTGTTTAATTTCATTTCAATAACGTGAATAGTAATTATTGTTTACTTTTTAAATGCAATTACGTATTTTATTCAATTTGTGAACAACTTTTCATATGGTGTATTCTATTTGTGAAGTATATTTAACAAATTATATTACAATAAAATTTTTTTTTTGTATTTTCATTGATACATAAAATGTAATATTTGTTAGTACCAAAAATGTCTATAGAAAGTCTCCCAATAAATACTAAGAGTTAGAATTATTAATATAATATAATTGATTAATTACTATTATATAGCAATGTAAAATAAAATACAACACGTGTCGCTATGGATGTTTCTAAAGTATACAGAACCAATGGATTCACCCAATATCAATTGTGTAAACAAAACAAAAAAAAATAATATTAAATGTACATAGCTTAAAGATATTTAAGTATGGTATATGATTTATGAGTCCCTACTAATGTTAAAATGTTGAGAAATATTATTTTTCAAATATAATATGCAATTTGAATGATATATGAAAAGTCACTAGCCTTTGAATAAATAAATCAAATTCTGCACAGTGTGCATGTTAATAATTATTAATAAAAACTACAAAATAAATATAATTTCAAATAAACCAAAAATGTTGTAATTCGTCAGAAAGTAAAATAAAAAACTGATATTAATACATAAGTTTATGATCTATATAGGTAATAAATAAAAACAAAATCAACAAATTCTTAAATATGTCATCTTCTTGGTACAATTTTACACAATTGACTAGTTAAACGTTAAAAAGTAGTAACAAACTATGTGAAATGTTTTTAATAAGTAACTATTAATTTATAAATTAATAATAATTGAATAACTATAATATTAATGATTCTTACCTTTGGGGTTTGTAGAATAACACCGAAAGCAGAGAAAGTGTCATATAGCAATTTCTCATCAACTTCTGAATCCAAATTACCAATGAATACATTGGCACCAACATCAAGGTTCTTTTGATGAGCAGAAGCCTGGTATTAAAAAAGAATAAAAACATATATAAGGTACTAAATATAAACAACTAAAAAAGTTAAATTTAAAACACAAATATATAGTTGTATACATTTACACATTTATTTTACCTTATTCACGCGTATTGGTTTTCCATACAATTTTATCATGTTCATTATTTTAATAGCATAATCGGCATCATCTTCAGCAAGAAATTCAACAAAACCATAACCTTGATGTGACTGTGTCACTCGATCTTTTGGCATATGAACATTAACTAAAATAAATAATTAATTAATTCCAAAAAATGTTTGAGTAAATAATTATACATTATTACTTACCCACTGGACCGGCTTGAACAAACAACTCCCACATGAGAGTATCCGAGACTTTTTCATCAAGACCACCAACATAAATCGTTGCATCTGTAAATAATAGTTATAGTATACAAAGAAACATGTCTAGTGCTTAGGTTATATGTAAACAAAAACAATTACTATAAAGTATAAAGAGCGCATAGTAGATGGGTTACATAGGTATGTTACTATTTACATAATATATAATATTATATTATAATCTGTGTTCAAATAGTAATGTATATTTTGTGAAACATGTAATTACCTAATAATTAATAATAATATTAATAAGTGGTAAGATAATTCGGAACAGATCAAATAATAGTAAAAGAAAACATGGCAAGCATTTAGGAAGTAATTTTTGGAGACACCATTTAATCACATACGACTATTTCCACAAATTGTTTATGTTCTTGTAATACCAAGTACACGGACGTCAAAATTACCTTGATTTCTTTCTGCTATAGGTCCCGCGGCCATCGTATAACTTCAAAATTGCATTTAACGACCGGCAAAATTATAAAAACTAAAACGTTATCGAACATATAAAATTGAAAAGTTGTATACAGATAAAACGAGCATTTATATTTTATATTACAGCCTACAGGAGACTGTACAGTCTACAGTAGTACCATTGTTGTATCGTTTGTTTGTTAATCACATAATAATTTGATAAGACTAGCGTGATATCAGACAGCATGGCCAACTTAGCCTTCCAGATTATAATCACTGAACCATAATAAAAATTAATAAAAGAAATAAATAATTTTTTTTTAACGAATAATGTATCATTAGCGATCAGCGGGCTGTGGCCTGTGATCTGCCTTTCTGACAGTTTCTGCGAGAATAATCCATAGAGACCTTCTGCTCGCCGTGTCATGTAGAGTTGAATATATTCAATTTGTAAGTAATGGGTGACCAGCAGGGCCGGCGTAAAAAGTAGTGGAGCCCTGGGCGAAACCATGTTTTGGCGCCCTTAACAAGCCCCTCCCCCCGCCTAGTTTGAGTAGTAGTAAAATTAAGTTTTTTAATAATAAGTTAAATAAAATTAGTATGTATCATAACTTTAAAAACAATAAATTCGAAAACAATAAAATTTATAATAATTTAATAATATTTAATAATTGTGTGTGTCAGATAATTGTGTCTTTTTGATTTACACTGCGTTATTTTCGCCGTAAGGTCCGAATGGGTTTTATCGCCGCGGTTTTTCTGACAAATCTAGATGTAATCGTCTAGTTTTACGAATTTATTTATAAATCGCTAAATAGCCTGAATATATAATATGAAAATAATTATTACGACCATCTATATATTTTATTGACCCACACAAAATATGCGGTGGTATGCTTCCGTGATCCATAGTTCCACGCATAATTTTTACATAAAAACCAGAGGTATCGAATATCGATGTACACTGTTTTATTCTTACATTATACAAATATGAAACAATTGCAAATGCATCTTCAATTTAAACGACATTAGATAATTAATATTTTAAATTGTACAGATTATCAATACTCAATGCCTATTAAAAGATAATTTAAATAAAAATAATTTTCAGTTTGGCGCCCCTTAAGTGCTGGCGCCCTGGGCAGTCACCCAGGTCGCCCATAGCTTTCGCCGGCCCTGGTGACCAGCATTTAAGCATTTTGTTACCTATGGAGATGTTATACCTACTATTATAAATACGGAAAACGGAACACTTCACGACACAACGAGGTATGAATCCACCCTAAGACCGTGAAAGTCTGAACACAAAACAAGGATCAACATTAAACAATTTAAAAAAATGAATAACGATTAAACCATATTAAACACAGGATTTGAGAATTCTGATTTCTGATATGCTTAAGACACAGATTAAGATATTCTATTGACTGTATCTTATTTCCTGACTTAAGGTCAAGGTGGATTTATATAAAAATATTCAAAATATTTATACATAAAATAATTGCCCTTGCTTGAAGGTATAATATAAATCCTAAACCGTGATTAAACCAAAGAATAGACAAATATAACCTAACCTGTAGATTAGGTTTCAGTGAACCACGAACTCAGATATACTTAGTGTAAATAAATTGTTTACCTACAGTAATTTCAGAGGCTATCACTGGATGAAACTCTAAAACACCTCAACCCCCGGCGCCTCTGTGAAAAATAATTATTAAAAAATTAACATTTCAAACGTACTTGACGTGTTATAGATTAATTACAACATTAAATTAGATGATAACGCAATTTTACCTGTTCCCAAAAATCGAGAAATTAATCTGTTGATTTAGATATCTATATAACACTTTCCGGTGGTTTCTGAAGATCAAGATCTTACTCAACTCAATACCTTTGCAACTTGTCTGCAACTTTCATTATTTCGGGTACAACATTTCCAGTAACATTTTACCATGTTGACGTAATTAAGCTTAAGCACCTATTGAGAAATAAGAGAATACCTAGATATAAATAATTGTTTTAATATAAAAAATAGGAACAAAGTAGATGTTCATAAAAATCCGTGAAATTGATTAAATCACAGTGATTTGTGTTTTGCTAATATATAACTATTATTTTTACGAAATAGAAAACTTAATTTTTATTTGAAAACTTTAGTATATATTTTTTTAAATTTTTAGAATTTCTATGCATTGAACCTACTGTAAACAAAATGTTTAAATATATTGATTTGCTACGAAGTTATAAATAAGGGCGCCCTCAGAAATATAAGCCGCGGGAGGGGGGAGTAAAGTCAAAAATCTCTGATTGCACAGCACGTCAGCACATACTATTTTTTTGTTTTGACAAGTTACAAAACGATTAATAATAATTAAAATAGCGGACGTCCGTGGTTACAAGCGGTACGATACTATGATGGACTTTGGGTCACACTGCCTACGTTGTTTATCATGCTATATTACCAACTTGCTTCCAGAAATGTTATGCTCCATCTTCACTTAAATGAATGATTTACAACTAATGTTAGCATTATTTTTACAGCTTTTATTAATAATTTCTATTTTTGATAAGATATAGCCTATCTTAGAAAGGTAAATATAAAATACTCAACTATTTCTTTTTTTCATGTTTCAACCAACAGTGCCACGGGAACTGCTTTCGCATTCTTCCGCGAAAAATACTCAACTCTATATAATTTAAAATATACTTGATAAAGAAACGTGTTTTTCAGAAGAATGATTTGAAAATGGTAAATTACATTAATTACTTTTAATTGTTTTAGATAAAATGAACAAATATTTGAATTTTAAATAAAGTGTTGCATATTCTACACAAAATAAAATAATGCAAAATTACAAATTTAGTATGCAATATTCCTGAGTCCAACTAAAAATCACATTTTTTAGTTGTCACTATATAATATATATAATTATATTATACTCTTGCGCATGTATATGTGATAATGTGACTATTGAAAATAGAATTTTCTACTGAATAACTATATGCATAGTTAGTCAAACAATATGGTTATCGACTATGCCGAATAAAAAAATTATTTGAAATTTGTAGAAAACAAAAGAATTACTAGATCAAACTTGAATAAATAATTACATTTTTTTACTTAATTAGATACTATTATAAAGAGGATTCACAATTATCTTATATTGTATTTTGTATGATAATTAGTTGAATTTTTTAACAGAAAATCTTATCAATGTAGCTCAATCTCCCACATAGCAGTTATTTTAGTTATTTTTTTCAGATAATTTTTATTTCCTGGAAGTATAATCTAGTTTGTCATTGTACAGTATTTAAAATAAAAATATAACAATAAGAACAATAAAAACAAAAATATTTATCAACAATTATATTATAACATAAACACTAAAAACATATATATTCAAAATAGGTTATATTATATTTCAATATTTGCTGTAAACAATAATTTTGATTACTCTGAAATATAATATATTGAATATACGTACCTAAAATAAGAATGAAAATGTAATGTACAAAACAATATTTAAGTATTTTCAAAATCTTCAAATTTTTATCGAATACCTAATTAAATTATTTTAACAATAATGTTGGTAGTTTGGTACATTTAGTATATCATAATATTTCTTTCATTTTCATTTCCACGTGCCATTCTTTTACATCTTTGGATTGAAGATTATTTATGATTTTTCTAAAAATAAAAAACCATATTATTCCGTAAATTGTACATATGATAGTTTCTATGTAAAACCCGTCGATATAAACTTCACAGGTTCCACCGGACAAACTGCACGTTTCCTGTAGATGAACGGATAATTAAAAATACAAAAAAAATTAACTTAATGTATATATATATACATGTATACCTAATTATTTTACCGTCTTACCTTCTCCTTCGAAATATTTGATGTTGAACACAATTTTCTAGGATCATTAGAACATCGTTTCAAAGTTAGGAATTCAATAAGCCACAAAGCTCCAGTTTTGCTCCACACATTTCCTAAATTAGATATAGTAGTCAACAGAGTCATATTTGTACCTCCGATTTTTGGATCACTTATACTTGCGTAAAATGTCATTGACGTCAATGTCATAAAACTCACAGCTAACTGAAATGGAAATAAACGTGTTTATGCAGAGCTTACGAAAGCAGTTCAAAAAGGTACATAGATACATTTATAAACGATTTAAGTGGGTAATAAGCAGCTATAAGGAAAAGAAAATATAAATTCGTAAGTAAATCAACATCAGTGACCGAAAATTAAAAAACCTAAGAAAATATTAGAAACCATTAATGTAAGTATTATTAGTTGTAAGATACATTTTTTAATAACCAAATTATGCACTTATTTAAAAAAATTTTAATTAAACTAACTAACGGAAATCTGTAAAAACTATCAAACAACAATTAACAGATATCGCTAGGTTTAAAAAATAAATAGTTTAATAACTACTAATAATTGAATATATTTACCTGTTGTAAAGTGTACATCAACACTAAAAATACTCTGTAAGTGTAAAGTAATGATCCTGTGTGACCCAAAAAACAAGGTGTAAAGTAAACGATAGTTGCTAAAACTACACCGAACAGTAATCTAAAGGATAATATTTTATGGTATTACACATTTATACATATACTGATTAAGAAAGAAATTATTGATCAAAAGATACTATTATTATGGTTATAGTTTTACCGGTAGGGTATTGTATTGAAATAATTTTTCAACGGTTTTTCTTTCGATGTAAATCTTGTAATAAAAAACGGTAAGCTTATATTTAAAGGTATTAATAACAAATCCATAGCAGCAATTTCGTCTTTGGTAATTCCACTGTCTATAAGTTTCAATCTTAAAGCGGCATCGACTGAACAAAAACTCATCTAAATTAATTTAAATGTTGTATGTATAAGTATACTGTTTAATACTTTAATGGAAAATACCCTTACTTTGATAGTCAATAAAATTATAGCGAACATCTTGATACTAGGTAATTTCATTATACTGAAAAGTAACATATACGTTTTGATAATGCTAAGATCAACAGCATTGAGTTCTGCCAAATAATCTTTTTCGTACTTAAATATGGCAACTAGTGTGGTAATGACTATATAAATAATTCCCCAAAAATAAAAATATCCTAAACAAAATATTATTAATAAAATAATAATTACATTTGTATTTTATATAGGTATATTAGGTACACAGTAAAATGATTTAATAAACATTTATGATATAATTATTAATTTTAATATATACGATATACCTATAGATTGGTATAAGTATAATACCTTGTAAAGTAATAACACCGCCTGGTACAGGTGCAGTGCGCCACCATTGGTTCCAAAATGATTCCGATAACAATAAAATTGGCAAAATATAACCCAAAAATATGCCAAAGGCTTGTCCGGCACCATTACACATTGAAGCATAGCTAATATTTCGTCTACAACATAATACATTACCTATTAGTATTTAATACACACGTGTAATAGTTATCTACTAATAAACTAATATCATAGGTAGGTATACTGGTATATATTTTACAGTTTTAATAACTATTATTTTTTTCAACAATGATACACAAACCTTTTTAACATGGTTAATGCCCAACCGTCTACAATAATGTCTTGAGTGGCAGCAAGGAAATTCAAAATAAAAAATATTGATGTTAAAGCATTAATATTTACTTTACTACCAATATCTAGCCATTCATTTATATAAAAACCAGTAATGAAGAAAAATATACCTATAAAATAATAAAACCCGTAATTAAAAAATGTTAATTAACATAAAAAATGTTAAGACAACATTTCAATTGTATTTTGTTTCGTCTTTTTAATTATCTGCAATGTTGAATATTTATTTTTACCTAAAAAATATTGGACTGGAATCAACCAAGATTTTCGACGGCCCAATTTTCGTATAAATAAGGAATCAACTAACGGTGCCCACAAAAGCTTCAAACTGAATGGCCATATTGCCAAACTAAATTTAGCCTATTTATACATATATCATAAAAATGTTATTGTTATTTCATCTTTCAAGTTTTAAAACTTTTTTTTTAATTCAGTTGTCCATTAGTTAACTCACTTGTTCGTTGAAAGAAGATTGGCGCATGTTTTGGATAATAATGGGTATTGCTAAGGATAAACCTAACGGTACTCCTTGTAAGGTATACAACAACAGTAATACAAAAATATTGCCTTTATCTCCTTTCGAATTCGCTCTAACGGGAATGTCATTTTTTTCGATTAAAGATTCAATATGAGTAATTTCAATCATCTTCATCTATACTTCACAATCGTCAGCTGCTATGAATAAATACCTGAAATGACAGTAAATAAATTAAAAACTAATGAATAACTGTGAAAATGTAATTTATATCAATTAATACTTAAATTTTGTATGTATGGTACAATGGTACATATTATATAGTAAATGATATATCAAACATAATAAATTAAATATTTATCAAAAACTTAAAACTTAACGTAGGTTATTCATTGAATTATATTTTAATTTAGTTCAGTATTAGCCGCACATACAATATTTTATGAGTAATATTGTAAGTTTCAACAGTAGCAGTAATGTGCCTTGCTGAAGAGAGAATATCCACTAATATGTAATTAATGAACAGAGAAATGTTGTATATCGTCTGAAACACCAAAGTTTCCCTTTTCAACTAAGTTCGTTTATAAAAATAAGGTTAATCTGTGGTTTAATAGTGGAGAACTTAGAAACGACCACACTCGACAACATTTAATTAGCAAGACAATTCATAACTATCGACTTATTCAACTTAGACAATTTTAAAGGATTAATTATAATAGCCTTAGGAACAGGAATTACAAAACGTATTCATTTATACATTTCCATCATAGGAATGTCTAAAAATAATACAGTGATAATTACCAATAATTTAGTGGAAATGTGGAATCAAGGCTGAAAATACATTAATATTGTATATTGCAACCAGAGTGGAATTTAAGCATATTTTTACTGTAAAATAGATTGAGTAAAAAATCCGAAGGTACTTTGTATTTACTTTGGTTTTAGTCTTACTCTCAAACAATATATCATTGTTGATAAATTTTAAATTAATATCATCGGACAAAATCAATAACATCATGACATTCAAATTATTATTATAATAAATTATTTAAATACACTTTCATTTAATAAAAAAAAAAAAATAAATAAATTATGACGCGGCATCAAATAACTTTCGTCTAATACACCATAAAACATGCATAATTCGTGCTTATAATTAAAATGTACAATTATATTTATGCTTTATATAGTTACGAAAAATATGCAAAATAAACAATACACAATTTGTATCAATATGATGTGAAATCCAAATTTTAAAAATGTAAGTATAACCTATGTTTTTAGCTAATAGTCACAATTACCAGGAGGCTGTAAAATTGTAAAAAGCACATCTTTTATAAATGTATTACTCAATTTTTTGAAATAGGTCCATCGTGAACTCATTTTTCTATAAAAGTGGATAGGGGGAAGATAATTTAAAAATAAATGATGATTGTAGGTTTTTTTCTATAAAGAAAACTTGGAAAACTATTAACTTCAATACATTATAATACCATATATATAGGTCTAAAATGTACACATTTTAAATGATTTTATGATTATGTAAATATACATATGAAATAGATATTTTAGCAATAAAAACCTAGGTGGAGGGGGGGGGCAATTACTCCATCCTACATCGGCTTTAAAACGTTCAAGAACTCCATAATATAATATATTAATTTTAATATACAATTGGTTATTATAAATAATTATGCAGTTGAAATTTTTGCTTCTTTATAGAACAAAGTTGATTCAAAAATTAAAAACAAATACAAAATGATCCTAAATTTTAATCAATAAATTTACTATTAAGTAAATAGCAAAAAAAAACGGGTAAGTGGATGTCGCTCTGCTGTATATTAGGTGTCTATAAGAGGTCGCTGTAATGGATAGTATTACATTTGAATTAAATGATATCATATCATTGTATACGAAAAACGATTCTGAGGGGGGCCCGGGGTGTCAGTCTAGGATATTTTATATTGTTATTACTTATTATTATTATGGTAGCCAGTAAGTTCAATTAATATATTATTCTTAAACTATCATTGATGCTGGACAAATATTAAATATACTTATGTAAAATTAGACTGTTTTGGAACCAAATTACAACAAAATGATAAACGTTTTTCTTTCTGTTAATATATGCAATTTTGTCCAAATTTGAACTTAAGATGTACTGTAAAAAATAACCGTATTCTTATATTTTTTAGATTTTTTAGTTACGGAAAAACTGCTTAAGTGGAATCTTGTTTTAAATTTTCAATCCTTAGTTATAAAAATTGTCAAAATTTGAACTTCAAATGCTTATGAAAAAAAATCGTGCCTATGTATTTTTAATATTTTTAACTGCTATTGTAACAATATATAAAGAGTCTTGTATTAAATTGCCATGCTTTTTGACTCAACCAATAAAATTGTATTGAAATTTATAGGAAAAAAAATGAAAATTGAAAATTTCCGTCAATTACTTGAAACGTGTCAAAAAAATAACAAGTATATGAACTGTTAAAATAAACATTTGGAGTAAATTTCAAATGTCTAGATTAATTTGTTTTTGAATTACAACAAAATTAGAAAATCGTTACAAGAGAAATCGAGTGAATATCCTACGTTGTAAAAATGTCAACTACAAACGCTCATAAAAATTTAATTTGACTTTCCGGTAGAAATTTTTATTTGATAGAGGTAGACAAGCTAATAAGGCATCTTTTATTCAATTTTTAAATCTTAGATATAAAAAGAAAAATTTGTATGAATTTCTAACAAAATATAATTTGCTAATTTTCCTGATTTTACGAAATTGAGTTTTAACACTCATAAATAATTATTGTAGATTTATACTCAACTTTTTTTTAATTTCCATTAACAGCAACTTACAGGGAACCCTGTTTTACATTTACAAGTATTTTGACCGAGCGAAACATTTTTTATCGCCTTGAGTTAAAAAAAAAATAATAATAATCGAAAATGTCATATGCCTATAAATAGTTCAACTCAAATCAAAACATTTTTAAAATTGTATGGTGTATAGAAAATGCTAACACAAATATTCAGCGGAAATTTAATGTATCCACGGTCATTTTTTTGGAGTTAAACTATAGTTCAAAAACTAGTTTTGCATAAAAATTCCAGTTTTTCCTTAATTTTTTGTTTGTTTTTCCTCCTAAAATCTATTTGGGAATTAATTCCCAAAAAATTTGGGATTTAAATTAATATTAAATTTTGACCTCTTGCATGCACCAACTAAATTCATTTTCCTACCAGAAAAGTTACTGTTGAAGAAAATCGAAACACTTTTACTGCAAGAAACCGTGATGACAGACACGAAAAATAAAAAATAAATATAAAAACACACATCATTGTAAAATCAATACAGTTCAAAATATATATTCTACGAACTCTTAAGACACTTAAGTATATAAAATTTATTTTATGATTGTAATCCATTAAAATGTACCTATACGTTAAAATATTTTATAGATTATTATATTATATTGAACGTATCAATCAAAAATATATAGGTTTTTAGTATTATAATTTATATTTACGACATTTTTTTGAGACGCTACAAAACTATAACTACTACGAGCACAACACTAACTAAATATTTATGAGCCTTGAATAATGTTATGCAAATATTTTGTTAACAAATTCCCTTCTGTTTAACTCGCTATTAATCTTATCATAACAGTGTCATACATTTATTGTAATAATTTAGGTATACACAAGGTGTGACATAACCTGACAAATTAAATAAATTTTGTTCTAACCAATATTAAAAAATTTTTATTTATTTATAATGTAGACCTCTGCTCTACAAGTATAGTATACAACTGTTTATTTTTTAATAAGTTGATACCAAATATTTTTAAAAATTGAATTAAATGTTTTCGCAAAAATTCAGAATAGCCAATTTGCAAATCTAATTTTTAGAAAAATGTTGTTGAAGAAAACGTTTATTGAAGTCAAGTAGTTTTTTTTACAATTTTTTGCCTATGTAATAACTTTTTTCAAAATATTCTATTTAATTTTTTTCAGACACAAGTAAATCTTAAATAATTTTTTATCCATACGATTTTTATAATTTGTTTCATGTGTATTAAACGTAACGTTTAATTATAGTATCAATTTTCATTTTGCATTTGTCAGATCTTTCTATTACAGTTACACCCTGTACATCACATACCTACTATATTTGTGAAGGTATGTAGTATCGTTGATCACACGTTATCAGTGGAATATACAGAAAACAAAATATCTTATTTTACTTTAATTTACAAACATAACGTGCTGCTGCCCAAGGTATAATTTTTAGAAATGAGAAATTGTTTACATTATAACAGATATACATTTAATATTACACATATTATGCAGAAGATATTGAAGGCAAGAGAGCAGTTCTTATTTGATAGACATTTGATTATCCGGTGGATTGAGTGGTTTTGGCCATAACCTAACGTAACTTTAACCATGTTATGACGAGAGACATAGTAAGGAGCAGATAACCTGGAGGATCTACTAGGAATTCTAAAATATTAAATTAGCAAGAAATTCAGGAACATCAATGGAACCGTTGACAAGTTTGTTGAGGAAATTTAGGTTAGCTAAATTATTATTTTTATATATTTTGCGCAGTTTCCATGTCGAATTGAGAGAAGAAGGACGAGTGCCCGACTTCAATGCACCGTCTTTGTAATTTTTATCCGGTATAGGTAATAATATGCTATCCATATTGCCAATATATTTTTAATTCTGAGCGAAGCAATGAATGTATTGATTTTACAATGATGTATGTGTTTTGTTTTTTTGGTCAGTACTCTGTATACCTAAATAATATATATTCGAAATAATGTTTCTTTTGAGAGATAAAAATTAAAAATTCCTAGTAGTTTTAGAAAGCGTATGGAAAAACAAAAAAAAAACGGAAAACGGAAATTATATACAATGCCAATTCTTAACAAAATCGATTTTATATTTTTGATGTGACTCAACAATTGTATGGATAATTTGATTAAAAATATAATTAATAAAAAATGTAATTCAATTTTAATCAAATATTGATATAATCATTTACCTTACATGATAACATTTTCAAAATATTTTGACTTTTTGAGCAATTATTATAGCCATGAAAAAATTCCGTTTTTAAGTTTTTTTTCAATTGTTTTCAAAGAATAATTTTTTACTTGCATTCACCAATACAAGGAGGTGCTCAATTACCCCTAGGTATTTTCTTACTATATGCATAAAAATTAAAAATACAATTTAAAAAATATTTTTATATACATATTTATTATACATATAATTATTTTATATAAGCCCATTGAAAATATCTGTGTATACGCCACTGTATGATTGACACATCGTCTCCGCTCTAAATCCTTTTTATACATGGAATAATTTATCATTGAATTCAAATACAGACGGAAATTGTGGGCTTAGGCAGGCTAACCCCCCCCCCCCCAAATATCCGTCAAGCCCCCTCCAAAAGTCCAACAGATATTGTGAAGGAGCAAAGCCTCCACGATTTAAGTTATTTTGAAAAATAGTAGCCCCCAATAATTTCAATGGATTTTCGCCTAAGAGTTCAAATCCAACACATCCATTACAATGACATTGGCATACTCAACAGCTACTGAATAGCAAAGCGGTTTTCACTTGCCCACCTATTTTTGGTATTTTCTATTTTATAATCTAAAAAAATTGATTGCCGTGTCAATCAGGCTGGACATCTAATAAGTATACAAGGTTCCTTATAAATTATTATACTAGCTGTCCAAAAATATTAAAGATAAGAAGTCATTATTTTTTTTAAGCATTTAAAGTTATAGTTTTGACAAAATTATTAAAATTGGCAAATTATTTTGTAGTAAAAAATTATAAAATGTTTAAATAGTACCTATAGCTAAAGATTGAAAGTTTAAAACAAGATTTCTCATATATGGAGTGTCCTGCTTTGACTAAAAAATTAAAAATATATACTGTAGTACTAATAGTAAAGTTAATTAATTAAATAGCAATAATATCATAAAATAAACTTAATAATATAGGCTGACAAGACGATTGTCTTTGCTCAAATTCATTTTACGAATACAATACCTAATGATATTATACCATTGAATTCAAATTTAACACATGCATTAGAGTAGTACCAACTTGCCCACATCTGTAAACCTTCACCCAATGTAATAAGCGTTTTTATGCCATAAATTGTAAAACAAACTCACTCGATTTGAAAAATGAATGTAGATTTATTATTGGGCGTCATGATGATGGCATGTCAAATGTGAAACGATGTCTTTCTATATCGATTTGAAAGAGATGTTTACAATCAGTTCCACGGTAATAGACGAATATGAATTATTTTGGCTCAATCTGTAAAGGTTACGATGTAGAAAATCCATTTTCTCGTGGTAATAAAATGAAAATAAAATACTCCTGACGAATGATTAACATAACGCATGCCGGTTTGTCTTTATCACTTATATAGATAATAGAATATGATAACACGCCGTCATGCCACAGCAAACAAGGATGTCCGTGGATAAAAGTTTAGATATAAAAGTACGGTCAAGAAAGTGAATAATAGCATTTTATCTATTTTGTGATAAAAGCAGTTAAAAGTAGGTCAATTTCTTCCAAGGGATATTTTATCTACTGATAAGCCCGAGGAACAGTTGATATTCCCGCTAAAAATGTTACAACCCAAAGGGCCCGATTTCAAAAAAAATATGCATTCAAGAGTCATTGTAGTGCACCATGTTTACTCTGGGACACTTTTTAACTAAAAATATAATTATTTCCATATTCTGTTCCATAACAATAATTGTTCATTAAATAGGTACTCAACTCTTACATTCGTATCAAATTTATCTTTAAAGAAAGCCATTTATTATTTTCTGGGACAGATGGAGAGTGGGAGAAACTATGAATTTAGACTTTCGACTTAGGACTTAGGAGACCTTGTACACTTGGAACTGAATCACGTCATGTATAAATCAGGGCCTGTAATATAACGCTGCACTAACTGATGAAGTTTTATCACCGACCTGAATTGGCTCAAACCTATCAGCTATCACCTATGTAGATATGCCCAGTGGCGAACTGAATTTCAATTTTAAATGACGCATTTTCATAATTAAATACTTACCAACACCACCAATACCCCCCCCCATGTTTACTTATAACAAAGTTATGATATCAAATATGTAAATATTATAATAACGAAGCCCCGTTAGACAAACCATAAGGTTTAAGCCGTTTGAGGTTATACATAGGGAAGAGAGGCAAAGATATACTACCATTTCTTAGACAATTTAAATTTATTCATCGCTATGCAATTTTTAAATTCATAAGGTGTTAGTATTATTCACTAGTGTTAGTGATTTTCAAATAATTTACAATCAATTAACTAAAATTGTTGTTCTTTATTTAAATCATCTGATTTCGTCCATATTTGAACTTAAAATATTTTATAGGTATACAAAACTGTGTTTATGTATTTCCTTAATTTTTTTTTTTAAATTTTAGCATTTTCAAATTTGATTTCTCATTAGTATGTATAAGTTATATTTGCATCTACTATCTACAACCAATTATCAGAAACCCCCTCTAAGTTAAATATCCAAGTATGTTTTTGCATACTATTTTACATGTATGCTATAGACACAAACTAAAAAAAAAACACAGCATTGTAAAATCAATACATCCATCGATCCGTTTAGAATCATAAATGTATTTAAATATTTGTTCAGAGAAAATGTGAAAATAAATTAAATATTGCATTATGCAGGTGCTTTGATTTGCATTTAATTGTTAAATTTAAAAAAAAATGGAGAGGATAGTGGGGGGCTTTATCCTTTGATGTACGATGTCATAGTATATATTTTTAAACACTGCGGCACCACTGCAGATGTCACCTTATTTTACATATCCTGCAGTGGCCTTGGTTGTATGGGCGATTGTAAACTCCGCTAGAATACCGGTTTGATAAAAAGGTAATGAAAAGGTCTAATGAAACTCCATCATTTTTATTTTCTTACCTATATTGGATATATAGAAACTCCGCCAGTGCTTATGTAAGACTTTATAATACATCTCAACTAAAGAAGCTCAAAATCCAAAATGATAGTGTTAAAGAACGTAGGGATTTATATAAGATTGAGATGTCAGAATATCTATAAATTGTATCTCATAATTTTAGTTCACAGTTCAACGTTCAACATATTATAATATAATATATAGATATAAGTGCATAATATATCTAGGTTGCTATGTACATACTTTATGATTGTTTCAATTATTTTTATGATAATCAATAATTTATTATGATAATACATTAATACCTACTCATGACAATTTGGAAGATTTGTTCCGACAATTATTATTTTTATTAATTTTTGTATAATTTTTGGGATATTATAATAATGTACATGATATCTGTCCTATATATTAATTTTATACTGTGACTTGATTTTCTTCACTGAAAAAGTTTATATAAACTCAACTTTACTTGATTTTTTCACTGGCGGAGTTTACACTAAAAAAAGGTACTTCTGGTACATGAGCTTGGTTGTATGGCCATTAATCATAGAACATAAATAAGTACCTATATATATATATATAGGTATATCGTATATACCAACATACCTGTAGAATATAGTATAATCTATTCTATGACTTAACTACATAGTTATTCAAATTACGAAGGTATAATACAATCCTAGATAAACCTAATCCAAAATATTTGAAAGCTATGGGTGGTAGTGGTAGTACTATTAATAATAACCAATGATTTTCAAATAAGAATTTGACTTAGTGAAAACGCGGAATCGTTTAAATGTCACGAAAAATTAAAAACTTCTATAATAATTTCACTAGAATAAATTACCAGAATTTATTAAATGCATTCATTCAAAGAAAGAAATATGGCAACTTCACTAATCTTTACTGCTTCGTAGGAAATGAATAGTTAGTCATTTTCAATTTGCTGATAGTTCGATAATATATAAAATAAAATATATATTTTTTTTATTTTATTCTTAAGGCAGACAATGCGGTAATATTACATCATTATAATTTATATCCACATGTATTATAATGTAATATAAACAATAGCAATATTAAAAATTGATTAAAAAATATTGACAAGATAGGACGATTACTCTTCGCCAAGAGAAAACATTACCGAAGGTAAACCCTATTACCTATCCGAATATTTTTGAATGTCCTAAAAATCTAAATATTGATAGAGTTAACCTATTCGGTAAGTAGGTGAGAAAACATGGAGTTAAAAAAAATCTTTCCAGAAACATATTTTTTTTTTAAATTTGTAGCCACAAACAAAAATATTACAAATTTAAATCTTGTATTATTTAAAGTGTTCAAACTTTAACAAGCTTCTAAATTATTTTCTATTGCTAATTTCTTAATTAATAATACATATTATATTTAATAATTACTTAGCAATTTGACATTTAGTGACTGCGCTTTTAAATAAGTGTGCCAAGTGTGAACTTCTAAGTTGATCAGTTCAATTTTATTAAAATGCAGTTTTTTTTAAATTTTTTGCATAGACATTTTATAAAATGAATCATTCTATACATATATATATATAACTATGGAAAAAAAATTATTATTTTTCTTATTTTATACATTTTTAATTTGACTATGTACGTTACAATTTACAATGTTGGCACTTATACGGCTTTACGTATAATATGATTCATTATGTAATAATTGTATAATAAGATGTACCTACAAAAATATATTTTTTTTTTATTTACTTTACTCTGTTTCTTCATTTATTTATTATACCTACAACAAAATGTTTTTAACGTGCAATAAAAATAAATGATCATTAATCACTATATTTATTTTAATAGTAACATTATATAAGTATAAATTTTTACTAGCTATTTAAAAAAATTTAAACTTTATATAAATTAAAAATAGTTTTACTTAAAAAAAACAGCACCTACTTAGTACTTACTGTTTAGATGTTTGATATAGGTACAATTTATTATTTTTTTACAGGCTCAACTATGTTTCTTCAACGAAATTCAACACCACTTAATTTAATAATTTATAATTCACTCATTCCAAACAAAACTAACGTAGCATAAAAATTGTAGTATTAAAATATAAATAGTAGGAAATCTACTTTGTCAATGGTCATTTCAGTTTTATACGATATGCGAAACGAATGGCTATTTTAATGTAAGTCGACAAATAAACTATGAACGATGTACCAATTATAAAACTGATAGGCACATTAAATATTTATTTTATATTTTCTAGTAAAAATTAATAATTATAACCACTGCCATCCTTGTATATTATAATCTATTATGTTTAAGTTATTAAAACTGAGATTATGATTCATGTTGCTCCATAAAAACTAAAAAGACCCAAATGATGTTAATTGCCCAGTAGAAATAGATTATATCACTTATGAATACTTGGAAAATAATTTGGCTCGTATAAATAATTATTGATTATCGTAATACTTATATTTATTATTTAAAATAATCAGACATTAGTTTAGAATTAAATCCAAACAATAAATTATCCTCGTTTCATAATATATAGTGGTTGTCAGGACACTTGTTCTAAAAAATTGACGTATTTGTGGATTCGTTGTTACTAAATACTAATTTTATTTCTTAACCATCAACATACAAATATTTACTAACAATAATTATATTTAATCCGAATGTTTGTGTCAACATAGTTTGTATATTTGCCACCAGAGTCCATGGTATAGCTTTTGTCACAGACAACAATAATTGTAATACTTATTTAGTGACTAGAGAGGTATTATACTAGAGCCTAGAGGACTGTATCAATAATCGTAATAAGTAATAACAATAAAAGTATATATTTGTTTAGAGACTTAATTTCTACTATCATAATTATATTAGTAAACTCTATATTATTGATTATAGCAGGGATCTCCTGCAGTCATCCTTTTTTTTCCTTTTTAATTGTGTCAATAATCAGTGATACTATTGTTCGTCTCTTAAGTTGGATATATCAATACTTAGTACCTACATATTATACTATACTCATGTTTCATTTATATGTACAAATGGTACAATGATTAATCGTAGAATTTAAATTTGCACATCCGATACAGTGCTTACTTTAAATGACGAGGCACCTATACTGTACAGGAGAAGACCCTTTTTGGCCAAAATGCACTCTTCCTTTTTTGGTCAGTGCCACTTATCGGCCAACACTTACAGTTCCCTTTTTGAAAACTATATACCTACAGTTATCTTTAAAAATTATAATTATAACAACTTAACTTAACAATTTTTTATATTGGATCAAGTATGATTGTATCCAAAAATGTGTTTTCCAGTCTATACTTAATAACGACTGAAATGATAACGAAACCGATGGCAATAAAAACCACTATTTTACGGTTCTAATGAAATTATATATTTATTAATTTTAATCTCGTTGTGGCCACCCCTGTTATAGAGAATTTGTTAATTAAACACTTCAGACGAATATATCAATATAGTGAGTATATTATCGCTGTCGTTATTATGACAATCATCACAGTTTTTATTATTACTCAATAGGTATTACGAATTTTGAATACTATACTCCGAAGTTGGAAACGTGACTACGGCCTTCGTCTACCTCTACCAATATTCATAGTATGTTCAATGTACCTAACTTTAGCATAGATAAAAAATAAAAAATTTAAAAATAGAAAAAATATTTCCGAGTTGCTAAAAATTGAAATGAAAAAAAATATTCAAGCTTAGGTACAGTTCTTCCTAAGAGCTACCACTGTGTGAAAAAATAAATACCTATCAATAAAATATTACAATGTTATAACATAATAATATTATTACAGTACCTAGTCGAATAATTTTTGGATACAATCATATTTAATTAAATATAAAAATTGTTTAAGTTAAGTTGTTCATTATTATATTGGAACATTTGAAAAAAAAACATTACTGGCTGGAAAGGAAGCTGTACATTTTGGTCGAAAAGTGACAAGAAGACCTTAAGTTATATGCCATGGGGATTATGTAAGGGGGTTAAGGAGGCCTAATCTCCACCCAAGTTACTAGAAAAGCCCCACCAAACAATTTTAATTTATAATGTTTATATTGCCAAAAAACCGCCACAATACGTCAATACGTCAAATACTAACCTAACCTAACCTATGTAGGTACTAACTAATAGTATGAATTTTGTTGATACTTCTCACAGGGATTTAGCCACCACTGTTATACAACCATAAATACGCCTCCGTACAGTGGGCGTCACCATTTTCGGTTACCATATTGTGGAGCTTAAAGTATCACCCCTATCCCTACAATATAAGTATATTATATCTACTATCCGAATACTATTAAAATATTAATTATACGTAGGTCATAAAATTATTTAAAATAAGTATAGGTATTCACCTAATAAACCCTATATATTTTGTAATATTATTTTACCTTGGTATGTTAGTGTTTGAGAATCAGTTGTTTGTTATCAGAATGATAAAAAATAACAAAATTTTTCGGTTAAAAATGTTAAAATACTTAGGTATCTAAATCATAAAATGTAGGTATCGTGTAATTTTTATTTCATTAATTATAATCTATTTAAATAATTAATTAAATATAGGTACATAAGTACCTAACCTATACCTTACTTACGAAGAAGTGCAAAACACACGTAATAAAAAAATAAAAATAGGTACCTACCTAGGTATGTATAAATGGCGAATGGATATTACATATGGGTTAAAAGATCAATTAAAACGTTTAAAAGTAAATCTTCCTAGTACACTATGTAAATTAAATTTTTTATCAGAATCCGACATAGGTACTTGAAAAATTCACATAGGTACCTATAATATTGTAGTTACATACCGCCCCACACGTGGTTTTTGATAGAGTGGTCAGCAGCCGGCCAAATGTTGAGATCTGTGAACTGGAACGAGTTTAGCACACAATTCAACAAAGCAGGTAAATAAGTAATAACATTTTAACATATATTATTTATATAGCTATATATATATATATTTGCAATACGAAAATGTACTCTTTGTTTTTATAATATATACTATATAGTCGATTAGACAGGCAAACAGGTTTCATTCTAGTGGTGAGGGATGGAAGGGGGATACGCATCGATTAGATACAGCATTACAGTCGATACAGATTTAATTGCACCGGGTGTCGGAATGATTATTTTGACCATTATTCTCTTATCAAATATATTTTAAAAATAACAATTTATTATAAATCATAATATAATTATATTCAGAAGTCACCACGGGTCCACGGCAACACTCACACAGTCTGCCGATTTAAAATTACGGTTATATACATTCCTAAAATTATTATACTATACTTCGTCAATGTTTATTTCTTTCACTTTCCAAGTGAATGCTTAGTGCATACGCCATTATAATTTAATATAAAATATATTTCTACAATAAATGAATATTCCATTTTTGTTTTTTCAAAATCAATATTTTTCATTTGAGCAATAATGAATACCTAATTAGTAATTATTATTTGACATTCGTCAATAAAGTATCGTCAACTTCAATTCAATTCATGTTTTTCCCTCATACGAACATATGAATACATTCAAGTCAATATTCCACTGCTTTAAGCATAGTTGGAAATCCGTTAAAATTTCAGGGGGGCTTCCATCGTACCCAACTAAAAAGCTCTCTGTTATTGGGGGCTATGACCCTCCTGGCCCTCTCGATTTAGGTACCTACCATAATATAAACTTATTATCTTCTTCTTCTTCTTCTTCTTCAGGCTTCGGCCAACAAATTGACTGCCATGAGTACCATATCTGGTCATCTGGACCTCCATAAGATTTGTGCTTTAAGCTTAAATATTTTTAAGTCGTTCATATCACATGCTTATTTGAGTAGGCACCTACTAGGCTACTACCTACCAATATTGTTGCTCACCATTTTTTACTTTCAGGCATTGAGGGCCATTTGGTACTACTTTTTTTTATATACCTCATTTACGTCATTGAGGAAGGTACCATTGCTCAATTGCTGGTACTCAATCACCTGACAATATTCTAAAAATACAACAAAAAACCCCCGTGGTTTGCGTGGACGTTCGTCCAAAAATTCTGTGGTATACTTGATAACGCCAGCGAGCACTGAGCACTCGTTTTAGTACTCGTGGCGTTCGAGGACATCCCAATTAAAATATTGTGGCAGTCAATTTGTATACTATACCACTAAATACAAATCTTGCCATCTGTTTCTATCCTCTGCTGCTTCCCATCGACTGATCTTCATAGGTACCTACCTATTATTGTAATGCTCTTCTTCACACAATATTCCCCGTTCCCACTTTAATCTAGATTCTAGGTCTACTTATAGATCTTTTTCCGAAAGTCTTCTTCTATAACTTTCATGATTGGAGATCCTTGATAACGTCAGGCATAACCCCCACATTAATCTTATTTTAGCGATATCTTTAACTATACCAGACCTCTGAAATTGTAATTGAAGTTTACAAATCACAATTGTGTAGTTTTCTGCACTCATTGGATTGACTAGGTATTAAATACTGGCCCATATTATATTTTGCTTAGTATTTTTCTCTTGAATATTATTAATCTCAGTTCTTCGGTTTTTCTTTGAGTTCACGTTTCAGAGCCAGAGCCGTATAAAACTATTGGTTGTACAAATGGCATGTACGTCATTATTTTTTTTTGCCCTATCTCAACAACAATACATTAAGGGAAAAAATGATTACACTTATATAATTTATACTATTATTTTATACTATTGTAGCATTTATATATTTATCAATGTAATTTCTTGTAATGTTGTAAATAATTTGTGAATAGGTAATTATGCACTACTGTCAACTGTTAAAAAATGCAAAATGTTACAAATAAGTTAGATGACTTAGTCAGGAACATTTTAAATTTATATTAAAAAAAAAAAACATCCTTATTTTTACATTTCTGGACCAGTTGCTGATTTCAGAATTTATATGTACATTGCGCTCATTAATTCCAAAATTTGAATTTGAATTTGGGTATAATTATAGGATAAATAAATTACTGCTATCTTAATATCTCTAATAAAATAGTGGGTAGCTTACTTCAACTAAATGCTGAGTGAATCATCACGGTGTCGTTGCAAGAAAAATTTTTTTTGAGGAGTACCTAGGGCATTATTTTTTTTCCTAGCTTTTGCAATGCTAGAATACCAACTTTTCATCTATAAC